AATTATGTGTCTCTGTTCACTGCAGAGGCTGAGTATATTACTGCAGGAAGCAGTTGTTCTCAATTGGTTTGGATGAAACAAATGCTAACAGAATATAATGTCAAACAAGATGTCATGACATTATTCTGTGACAATCTAAGTGTTATAAACATATCAAAAAATCCCATTCAACACAGTAGGACCAAACACATTGATATTCGCCATCACTTCATAAGAGAGCTTGTTGAAGAAAAGATTGTTGCCTTAGAACATGTAACCATTGAATTGCAATTGGCTGACATTTTCACCAAGGCTTTGGATGCTAATCAGTTTGAGAACCTAAGAGGAAAATTAGGGATTTGCCTATATGAGGGTTTGTAGCAATTAAAGGCATGTGAAAATATCATTAAATTGATATTATATTATTTATGTTTTTAACAAATCAAATTTAGAAAATAATCATTTCAAGACTGTCTCAAATTGGTTTCCACACGCTACGAAATCACATCTCTCTACCTTCACAAACTATTCATACTCCTCTACAGATAAAGAACCATTGTCATTCTTCATCTCTTTGCTCATAAATCTTCAAAGATGTCTCAACATCATACATCGTCTTCCTCAAAATATGACAACCTCCCTGAAAATCTCTCCCTTGACAGAGTACTTGATGTTACTCCCCTAACAACCATCCCACATCTTGAGAAAAAGGTCAAGAAACCCAGATCATCACCTGCAAAGATATCCAAAGATGATAAAGGTAACTCTTCTACTGCTACTAAAAATAAGACAGAAGAAGAGGTTGTTAATGTTGATATAAGCATCAGAAGGCTAGTAGACAGAGTATTAAATGAAGGCTTTGATGTGCCTGAGATTTCTACTCCTCTTGCTCGCATGCCTCCTCCGGATGACAAAGGAAGTAACCCTAAAAGTGCTGCTGCTGAATCATCCACCTTCAAGAAAGATGCTGCTGAAAGCAAACTTGAGAAGCTTGCTACCTCTTCTCTAAAGGAAGTGGAAGAAGAAAATATTGAACAAGATGATGAGGGGAACTCTCATTCTAAGGAAGATACTGCTGTCCAAGGATGCAGAAGATCAAAATGCTGAGAATGTAGTTAATGCAAATGAGCTATCTGACAGTTAGCTCATTACTAATGTGGCTCCTGGTATTGCTAGAAGGATCAAATCCAGGAAAGTGAAGGATGTAAGTGTCACACCCCCTGCCAATACAATCAAGAAGAAAACCATATATGGACCCCCAAAGCCCAGAATTAAAGTGGTTCCTCCCTCTAGCAAAAGAAAATCTAGACCTGATAGCTCCACTGATGATGATGATGCTGCTGTAAAAAGATCTCAAAGTAAAAAGAAAGTTGTGGTAGTTGAAGAAGTTGACTCAGACTATGATGTCGAGCAAGATCTCCAAGACATCTCTCATATCAAAAAGTCTGCAAGCAAGAAGATTTCTGTTAGGATTTCTGATGCTCCCCTTGAAAACATTTCCTTCCATTCTGCTGGGAATGCTGAAAAGTGGAAGTATGTTTTTCAAAGAAGAATTGCACTGGAAAGAGAATTAGGAGTTGGTGCTCTGGATTGCAAAGAAATCATGGAGCTGATATCTTATGCTGGACTGATGAAAACTATTACCAGATTTTCCAAATGCTATGAGACTCTTGTTAAGGCATTTATTGTTATTATTCATGTTGATTGTGATGATCATAAAAGTAAGGAGTATAGAAAGGTATATATTAGGGGTAGGTGTGTATAATTTTCCCCTGCTATCATAAATAAATTTCTGGATAGAACTGGAGATGACTTTTGTGAGATGGAAGTAACAGATAATCAAGTATGCAGAGCCATCACTGCTAATCAAGTGAGTGAGTGGTCCATGAAGAATAAACTTCCTGTTAGCAATATAAGTGTGAAATATTCTATTTTGCACAGAATTGGTGTTGCAAATTGGGTTCCTACAAATCATACTTCAGCCATCACTATTGGCTTAGGAAAGTTTATTTACGTTGTTGGAAACAATAAACTATTTGATTATGGTACTTACATCTTTGATCAGACTATTAAGCATGCAGGAACTTGTGCCATTAAGATGCCAATTGCTCTTCCTTACCTTATCTGTGAAATTATCCTTAATCAGTATCCTAGGATTCTAAGTGGTAGTGATGTAGTCTGTAAGAGGAGCTTTTTTCAGAAAAACATGTCTCATACATTGTTTTGACATCTGCACCTGCTGAAAGCAAGACCTCCACCAAGGATGACATAATCACTTAATTAAGAGAAGCCTGCAAGGAATTAGATGATGTGATCAGAGTTAGCTCAGCAAGGAAGCTAACTTTTGAAAAGATGATCAAGGAACTGTAGAAGGACAATAACCTTGATGATAGAGTGAGCTCTGAAGAAGAAGATTCTAGTGAGGAAGGAAGTTCTGGCTCTGCCAAGTCTACTGGTCCTGAAGACAGTTAGACTATTTGCTGTTTAATCATTTGACCCCTTTGTTTCTATTTGGCACTTCCATGTGCTTGACTTTTGATTTCTATGGTCTGCACCTATATTACTGATAGACTCTTGAATGCATCCTTTTATTTGGATTATTATGACTAAAAAGGGGGAGAGAAAGTGACTAACTGACTACTGACCACTGATTGAGGGAGAGCTTAATACTTAAGGGGGAGCCTCATGTCTCAGAAGATGTTTTGACATCTTCTTTTGCTAATAACTAACTGCTAACTGAGTTTTTGTTTTGCTTGCTTTGCTTATGCTGCTGCTCTTTTAATTTCTGGTAATATGCTTTGATAATGTTTTAGCCAAAATTTGTCAAAGGGGAGAGTTTGTAAGTGTTTATTGACAACAATTTTGGTAAAACAATGACTTGATAATATTTTGCTAAATGTCTTAACATTTGAAGAAAACTGTTTTGAATGATGTCAAAGCAAATGTCTTGACATCTGCCTCCTGAACTGAAATCAGCCTAATATCAGTTCTTGTTTTCTGTTTCCTGATTTCCTGCACGCCATAATTCAGGATTTGTGACTCATAGGCTGTGAAAAATATGGAAGAATACTTTTCTATTTGAATTATCTTTATGGATTATATCTTGGTCTGCTTTCATGGAAATATTCAAAAGATTTGAATATTTGTTTTTCAGCCCAAGCTCACAGCTGCACATATATAAGGATCTGCTTTCTTATTCATACGACTGCAACTTTTGAAGAAGAATACTTTCTTTCTATTTTAGAAGTCTAAGTCTTTTAATTGTCAAACACTCTAATATTGATTTAATACTTGTGTTGTTATTTGGATTGTGATTTGTGTATCATTCATAAACTTTTAAGCATTGAATGATTGAATTTTTTAAACTTATTATTTCTGTTGTTTCTTCATTGTAAGTGATTGAAGGGATTTGAGGAGGACCTCATACCTAGGTGAGTCTTAGATGGAAGTATAGAACGAGTAGTGATTAAGTGATTAGATCGTAAACTGATTGTTTACTGAGAGTCTATGAATTGATACTATTTAGTGGACTTGTCCCTGACTTGGTGGTCCTCAGAGTAGGTGTTGTTGTACACTGAACTGGGTTAATAATCCCTTGTGTTTTTACTGCTTTTATTATTGTTGCACTTTACTTTGTTCCTCAGATATTTGTGTCGTGACATCTCCTTCGACATCACATATCTGATATCAGAATTTCAATATAGAATCATTTTCTAGTACATAGCGCGGCTTAAGAATTTCCTTAATTCAATGATGTCAATTTGATAAAATGAATCATGTGATTCAAATTGATCTCATAACTTTTCTTTGGTCCAAAGTTTTTTAGTGATTTTGAAGTTGTAAAGTAAGATGATAAACATGAGGCACCGTCTATCGTAATAGATCTCTCACGTGAAAACCTCCATTTTGTATGGTTTTCAATAAATTTTACAAAGGTTTTGAACCCCCACAAAATAACCTCCGATATTTATTTTTACTATTCATAAAAAAGAGAGAAAGAGAGAAAGTTATCTATACATGAATATATCTATAGAACACCATGATTGGAATCAAAACATGAATATTAGGACAACTACATCTAACCCCAAAAAAAAAAAAGAGAGAAAGTTATCTATACTTACTTATTGTACCTTTACAATTAAGTCCTAGAAGAAATATGTTGAAACTTGAAAAGCATCTATTACCGATTCCTTGGATAGCGCTTCCAGTCTGGATCTTTATCTCTTTTCCTCTCATGTTGTGTTTCACACTCCCTACTAAGCTAACTACACCAAGTTCTTCCAATATATATTTGATTATTTAAAAATATCTTCAACTGAGCAGTTTGAACTCCTATTCATAATAGTCTGGCTTTCCATTCTCACCAAGCAAGCTCTGAACCTCGCTTAACATGCCTACAAACTTCTCCATTAAGAAATTTCAGCTCGTCCACAAGTAGTCTTAGCCGCCTTAATCTCGCTTAGCACGCCTCTAGCTCGCTTAGCAAACTAATCCTTACTTTTCCTTAAAGTAACTTAACCTTAAAGCTTTCTGACACTTTATACCTAGCTTAGTGTGTCTGCTAGTGTGATTTGGTGTTTGGCCTTTTGCTGCCTATTTTTGACTTAGCGAGGTATGATTCTTGGCTAAGCGAACTTTGGTGCCCAAATGATTTGTTTTGTCTGTTTTTTATACTTTCTTGAGTTTGTACTTGATAAATACACAGTTATATAGTCCACACATGCGTTTTATCATATTTTCTTGATAAATTGGGAATTTTTTTCATTGATTACTTGTAAAATAAGTTAATAAGTAGCTATGTATTTTACATATTTTTGGCATTTATCACTGGTTCGAGGAAGAATTTGAGTAGAAGCGTTACAACAGGGGCTGGATGAAGGGTTACGACAGTTGAAATTCCATTTAACTCGTGCTGAAGAAAGGATGAAACCGCAAGCTGGCAGTATAAGGCAGGAGAGGAGTTTCGTTGTGGGTGAATGGTGCTCTTGAAGTTGAGACCACACAGGCAGAAAACTGTGGTTTTAAGCATGTGGACAACTCCATTTTCTCTTCTGTTCTTCGAAGCTTCCTATCTTAGCTGATTGGTTTGGATCACCTAGTCTCTTTACATATATCTCATGATAAGTCTTCACATCAAAATGACTTAGAATTCTCACTAATTTACCATATTTATCTTTCACCACCATTTTTCCATCACTGGATTCAACCCCTTCTGCAAATACCTTCACAAATTTGGACTCAAATTTTGCATCTACAACACTTGAATGGCCATTTGCTAGAATAACAGCACCTACAATTTCCCCCATGAATGTATCCTGTATAAGATATAAACATCAAACACAAACCAATTAAGCAGCAGAAACAATAAGAAAAACCAAATGATTATCATTCAAATTAAAATTCTAAATGAATCATTCTAGTTATAAACAAGAGAGGTTGTCGTATTAAAACGATAAAACTTGAGTCGGTTCGATCTTTCCAGGCAAAGTTACTTGTAAATTTCAATATAGAAGTTATGTAGTGATAAGAACATATACCATATGTTGATATCTTTGGTGGGATTTCTTCAAACGCAGTAGCCTTGAAAGCAGGCGTTTGGAAAATACTGCCTCGGGTGTTTTTTGTGTCCTTCTAAACAAGTTTAAAGTACTTGTAAAAGAACTTGCTTTGCGCTGGATACTGAGTGGAATGAGTGTGATGTTAACATCGGATTCGAACACTGTTTTTGCTGCTATAGGATCCAGGAACATATTGAATTCTGCATACTTGTTGGAAGGAACAGAAAAGAGATTTCCCTTGTCATTGCCACTCTTGCTGATATGTCCTCCCACCACATAAACTTCCTGAAACATTTTGAACGCCGATTTACCGCAAGTTATAACCATCTTAAGTTCTTAACTAACAAAATGCATTTACCTGAATTTTGGAGCTTATGTTTTTAACTGATACAACTTTTGCCAAATTAGTCAAAGGTCCATTAGTTAATACTGTAATCTTAGACCCTGGTTCTAATGTCGGCAATATCGACTCCCAGATTTCCTTAGCTAGTGGTTGTCTGAGTTCAGGGTGATCGGTATCTCTAGGAGCTCCAAACTTCACGGAACTTTCTGCTGTATACCTGGCTCACATGTCCAAAATATTTTGCGCTAGTTACAATAGTTTCCAATATTGATCACATGGTGATACTATTTAATTCATCATGACACAGTTTATAGATAACATATAGTACCATTATTTCTTTGATAGTGTAATGTTAGGTTTCATTCCCCACAAAACTATAATGGTATCAATAATGTCCCATGCAACCTAAAGTTGATGAGACTTATAAGCCATGAAACTAAGTAACATCTGTACTAGAAAGCACCAACCTTCTAGGGCTACGAGGCAAATCACGAGCTAGTCCAAATAGAGTGTCAGAATCAAGAAGCCCACCATTTCCATGAGGTATAGCTTTAACATAGTTGCAACTTCCAACCGGTGGAAAATTCGGGTTTGATTGGTTCATCGCGAAAAAATCACCAATACCGACTTTGATATCATCGCGACCCATCATGTGCAGTAAGTCATATATTACATCTATTGTTGCTGCATTTGCCCACCCTGTTGGGCTTACAATGATTGCCTAAAACACCGAATGTGCCATGTTAGTCTATTTGTGGATAGTTCAGATGATGCAAATAAGCACGAAAAATCAAAATACCTTAAGGTTGATGACTTCAACAGGAACTTTAAGGAGGTAAAATAGTGCAAGAAAATCTCCTGCACTCATGTCCATGTCGAACACAACAGGTTTCCCTAGTACTTTGTTTTCGAAATCTGGCTTATAAGTTATTTCTTCATAGTAAGGAAACTGTGAAGTGAAACTGAACCTCCCAGCCTGTTGTGGTTGATTTAGAATCTATGAAAAAACCAGAAAGCAAAATTCACACACTAACATTATGATATTGTTTTTAAGACCCCGACAACTATTATAGCACTAATAATTCAGTGATTGATCTTGAAGAAGTTTGAATAAAATATAAAAAAAAAAATAGACATACATTTAAGAAGCTTATGAAGAATTCTCTGTCAAGTAAGCTCTTTTTATCTTTGTTAGGCTTTGCTTTTGTGGCAACAAGTATCTTCACCGAGTCTTGACCGTCGACCTCCTTTGTGTAACCATCCTATACAATGTGGAGTAATGGCGAGACGTTATTCGATGCATGTGCAATATTTTTTCCGGTAATAGTGTATACTATACCTGACATTTCCCTGTGCCATTCTTAACAAAGCAAAATGGATCTTCTAGTTCTTGTTGAATGTGACCACTATGGACACTACCTTTCTTGAGATTGAATTTAGGAACTTTGAGGCCATCAAATAATGGATTGGAGCCATCTGATACGCCATAAGGTTTGTTTGAAGTAATTACAGTTATATTCATATACTCCATTTCAGCAAATTCATTTTCTCCTTTGTGTCTATTAGAGTTCCTCATGATTGAAGCTGCTACGCCAACTGTGAAAGAGTCCCACATAAAATAACTCGTATAAAAATTACTGTCAAACCAAGTATCGCGGGTCATTTTCAATGACTTGAAACAGTATTGTGCTTCAAATGTGTCTTGACTATTTTCAAATTCTTCGAAGAATTGTTCATTGATGGGGATTGTGTTTGTTGCGTCAAGAGGAACAAGGGTAACAGGAATACCAGAATGAATGACCTACATGTTACTTTTTTTGTCAATAACCGAAACAATATATACATTTATCTACGCATTATAAACATTGAGTATCAAATAGTTTTCTTAACCTGATATGCTGCAAAAGGGTCTCCGAATATGTTGAACTCTGCGTAAGGATTAGCTTTATAATTTGTGAACAAATTGCCAATGTCACCACACTGGCTTGGTAAACAAGAAAAGGAAGAATTTATCGGGCAACACTCAGTGGGATTTTTTGATCTTACCCCACCGCCCATGATGTAAATATGTTCCACGTTCTTCTTTAGGTGCGGATTATTTTCGAGAAAAATGGCTATATTTGTATGTGCTCCAATCACAATCAGAGTTATAGGACCTGCAGATATTTTGTCAATCAGCACATTCTGAGCAGTTGGTTGTTGCAGCGGCCTATATCTCCTTTTTCCTTGCGGAAGAAAAGCTCTACGAATGCCGAGGTTAGTATCGACATCCAAGCGGCCTCCAAAACCAACAGGTATGGCTTGCCGATATCTGCAATTTCCTGCTGTTGTCATTCCCTGATTCAATCATGAACACAAACATAAGCACTTATTTTAAACACATATTTGAATTCTGCATAATCCAAACATACCTGTTCTATAATTGGAAGATATCCACCAACATCTTCAAGTATGGTACCATTAGGGAGTATTCCACCTTCACCTCCCACTCCAACTGCAATTTCTTCTCTCCCCATCATGTAAAGTATGTCATAAACTTGATTCACAGAATGACCAGCATTAGTCCAAGCATTTGCATTCAAACTCACTCCCTGCAGATGAACATAGTTAACCATAACATAATCAAAAGGAAAAAGTAGACCACTTTCTTTTCACTATGTTCGTTTCTTGATTATGCCATTAGAAACATAAACTTTGCACCAAGACCAACAGGTGTGTTTCTGAATGAAAAGCAGAAAAGATTAAAGACAGGGAATTAACCTCTAGATGAAACTCTGATGTATTGAGCTTCAAAAGATATAGTAGAGCAAATAAATCATCAGTGTCAACATCTGTATCCAAAAGAATCCTATGTGGTTTTCCTTCAACAATACTCAAACAAGCTCCTGATAAAATGATCAACACAAAAGCTACCCAAAACATCATTGAAAACATTCGTTGATCAATACAGAAAGGGATCAAAAACATGAAAAACCATGCAAAGAAGAGAGTTAATAATCTTCATGTGTGAAAGGCACGTAAATAAGGTAGCAGAGAAAGAGAGAAGTATTTTTGTAGTGCATATTATAATGTTTTTTTTTTTCATTTCTTCTGTGAGTCCTTTGACAAGTAAAACGGGAATTAATTAGAATCTTGACCATAAAAAAAAAAAATTTATTAAATAATTAAATTGTGGAAAATCAGTCTAAGAATGATGAGTGTGATTTGAATGGCTAAGAAGATTCAAATATTTTGTTTTACTCAATTGGTTGCCAATTCTATAAAAATTTCTGTATTTGTGGTCTACGTTATATTTGAAAAATGAGAGTCCTAATTTTCTGGAACTTCTGAAAGAGATTTTTTGATTTTGTATGGTTGTTTTTTTGGCAAAATTAGAAGTAAAATAAATACAACCATTATGTTTTGAAGATATTTCAAACTAGGAAACAAACCGTCATTTTCAAATTCTAAATATTCCACTATATGCTTGCAAAAATTCTAAACAATCAAATAAATACTTTTGAGAATTAAAATGTTATAACATGCAACGCGTAGTCAAACACAAGATTTTAAATAGGTTCGATTGATTTGTGAAAGATCATAAAATTTAGATAGTAGCTCGACCCGTAACATCATATTATAAGGAAAAAAAGGTATTTTTTACAAGTATATATGTATACACATATATAAAAACATGAAAAATTATGAACATATTTAGTCCGCAAGTCCCTTAACTTTATTTAACTTTCTGTTTTATTTCCTTAACTAAAAAACATTACAAGTTAGTCTATTAACTTCACTTTTATTATCTTATTTGATCCCTTCTGTTAATTTCTGGCAAAAAATCGTTAAGTTCTGGTGACGTGGATATACAACAAGACTCAAAGTCTAAAATATGACTAAGTATTTGTACTATAAAGTAATGTTTTAAGAATCGGACCGAACCAGCCAGTTCAGCCGGTTGGACCGTGAACCCGTTTACCATGAAACTTGATAAACAACTGCTAGTCTTCCAAATTGAATAAAAATGGTAACTTGTAGGATCAACCAGATTGATCCTAAGTACATGTGTTCTCATTCAAAACTTTCATTCCTAAAACGAAAAATACTTTTGACAACATTCTTATTCTTTTAATCAAAGTTGATTTCAATTGTAACTTCGTAAATGGTAAAGTGATGTTTTTAAAGAAAAGACTAGAATGTAAAGAGATTTCGACTGAAATTTAAAGGAATGTATAAAGCTTTCAATTAAAGTTGTATAACAATAAACATAAAATTGGTGCATCATACATACATTCTCACAAACTTGTTTCTCTAACGCTGGTACTTTGAGTAATTTTGAGTATTTTGTACAAATATGTGAACACATTGAATCATAACACTAAGACCCCTATTTATACTAATTTCGACCAAACAGTCTCTAAACAAGATGTTGTCATGTTTGACATCTGCATGCGCCTTCGAATTACATGCCTCCATGCGTTCCTTTGGATAAGATCAAACTTTTGAATTTGAAAACTCTTTGTCTTCGAAGCGCCAAACGTGACGGTCGAAATATGCTTAATGATATTTCGAATAACTTGAAATCTCTATGGTTCGCGTATGAACCTTTTGCCAACACTTAGCAAAAACAAAGCTTTTATTAGCTCTTCATCTGTCGAAATCTTCACATAAACTCCTTTATTCTTTCTTTCGAACTATATTCTCCAAAATATATCATTTCATCTAAAATCCATGTAGTCGAAATTTCCAGTCAATAAATTGCCTCTGATAAATGTGTGTTTTGAATTTCTTGGAGAAACACACATTTCTTTCAAAACAATTATATTTCGACGAACATACAATCTTCTTGATAGACAATAACTGTTATGATATTAGAACAATCATGACTTACTTTTTCAAAACGTCTAATCATGACGTGCGCGCAACAATTCTATCATTTGCTATAAAAGTAGGTTCCCAGTGTGGCTTTTATACAAGCAACCTCTTATATCAGTTTATCATAGATCACCACGTGCCCCACAAACTCCTTTAAGACATAGCCATTTTTTGGCACTCTATAACACCATTTTGGTCTTTTTATTTTGTTAATTTTACTATTATGTCAAAATCTTTAGTTCTTGAAGAATAGGTTTGTATCTTTTTAAGTAGTTACCATTTATCTTCAAAATCCTTCGATCTTCTGCCAATTATTTTATTTCATAGGCGTTATTTATGAATGTTTGGATAATTTGAAAAGGTCCTTCCCAATGTGGAGACCATTTTCCCAACAACTTATTCTTTCGATCCATGGGCAATATTACTTTCCACACCAAATCATCATTCGAAAAAACTTTTCCCCTGACTCCTTTATTGTATGCTCTAGTTATCCTCTCTTTTTGCCTTCTCAGGACCTCTAAGGCATACAACCTTTCTTCGTCTAGATCAACTAGTTCATTCATCATCATTTCCCAATAATAGTCAGAAGGAATTTTGTTATTCGTCTGAATTCTTACTGACTGTAAATATATCTCCACTGGTAGAACTGCATCATGGCCAAAAGACAAACGAAATGAAGTTGTGTTTGTTGCTTCTTTTGGAGGTGTTCGACAAGCCCACAAAGCTTGACCCAAGGTATTATGTCAATTCTTTGGTTTTATCCTACATGTCTTTTTATTAAACCAATAATTACCTTGTTTGAGACTTTGACCTGTCCATTCTTCTGAGCATAATAAGGTGTAGACGCCAATAACTTGAATCCCATTTCCTTAGAAAATTCCTGCATCTTTCAACCAATAAAGACTGATCCTTGATCAATTGTAATTGTTTCTGGGATTCTAAATATATAGATTATATGTCTTTGGATAAATTCAATAATACTCTCTTGATACACATTTACCAAAGGTATTGCTTCAATCCATTTTATAAAATAATTAATCCCTACTAGGATGTATCTCTGGCCTTTGGATGAAGTTGGTCGACTTTCTCCAACCAAGTCTAATGCCCAACCTCTAAAGGGCCAAGTTTTAATGATCGAATGCAATTCACTTGCAGGAGCATGTTGAATACCTGCATGAACTTGACACTCTTGCCATCCCTTGGTGAATTTTATGCAATCTTTCAACATGGATGGCCAATACATGCCATAACGGAACAAGAGTCATTTCATCTTATGACCTGCTTGATGTACTTCATATGCCCCACTATGCACATTCGATAGCGCCAAGTATGCTTCACTTTCTCCTAAACATTTGAGTAGGACTCCTTCTGATGTTTTCTTAAATAATTTGTTACCTATAAAAATATATCTCAGTGCTTGATACTTAACTTTCCTTTCTGTATCTGATGTTGGATCTTTTAGGTAGGCTATTATTGAGCTTCTCTAATCAGTTTCTGCTAAGCTATCTATAGCCATTACTTAGAAATTATCTTCATTCACATATCCTAAACTTGAACCCTTTAAATCTACTGGAGATAGTTTAGTGGCTAGTACCTTTCCACAGACTTCGATCAATTCCTCCAGCTTTTCTTTCGAGACTTTGTAGCCTAATGCAATTTGGGCTAGATCATTCGCTTCTTGGTTCTTTAGTCCAGGAATATGCTTAATGTCAATTATTGTACCCCAAAATTTGTCCTCTCATTTATCAAGTATTTTCTCACAAGATCTCCTTTGGTTCAAGACTGCACTAGGGTTGATCAGCTCAAGACACCTCCTTAAGCATTGATGACTGAAATTAGGGTTTGAGATTGCACAAGGATAATTGAACTTTTAATGCCTCATATGAATTTCATGGATCATTATGGACCCTCAAGATTTCTCATGTCAAGTTTCAAGTCTTGGATCACATTTTTGCTCAGTCAATTGATCAGTTGACCTAAAAATCAGCTGTATTGGGGAAAAGTCAACTATGGTCAATTTACAGTAAAACTTCATAAATCTTGATCCATATCAACATTGTGAACTCCTATATGTCATTTGATCAAGTTTGGACCATAATTCCTCAAGAAATTTGATCAGATCATCAAAAGGGCAAAATGGTCAAAATTAGGGTTTTAACTGACAAAGGGCAATTTCTGATTTTTGGCCTAGAAAATGGTTAATTGGTTTAAGACATGATCTCAAGGTTTCAAATTCATCGTTTTGACTTAATGTCATGACTCAAAATATTGCTCAAGATCAATTGATTGATAGTTGATTTTCAGTCAACTGATCAAAAGTCAATTGTACACTGAAAACTCAAACTTTGACTTTTTGGTCAAAATCAAGTGTCAAAGATCATAATTCATCAAAACATGTCAAAATATGAAACTTGTTCATCAATAAATCAAAAAGTCAAGATTTTATTTTGAATAGTCAAAGTTTCCAAACTTAGAAATTTTTCTAAGTGTTGAAAACTTCATATTTTTTCACAACTTTGAGCCAAATTTTCACCATGATGCAAGATGATTCAAAGGAAACTTTCAACATAAAAGTTGTAGATCTCAATGAGATATAAAACATTGATAAAAACAACTTCTACTAGAAATGTATGTATTTCAAGTTATTAATCCATGAAATCATGTTCATGAAACTAAAATACTTTGTGAAATTTTGAGCATTTTGTTCAGGATTTTGACCTAACTTCTAGGCCAAGTTTCATATAGTTCCAATTGGATTTTGTAAAAGTGATTCAAAGAGGGGTTGTAGATCACATTACAAGATTTCTAAAATGTCTAATAACTCCTTGATATCATTTTTAAACAAGGAGAATCGAAGGCCAGAAGTTAGGGTTTCAAGTTGTTTTACAAGGCAAAATTTTGTGATGAACATGAACCAAATCCATAGCCATGCTGCATAATCCCACTTTTCAGGCCCTCTAATTGTGTATATATCCTTAATTAGAAAATTACACAAACTTTATGGCTATTATCCATTAAACCCAAGCTTTGTCTAAGTTAACTTGCCATTTTTGGAAGAAAGGCAAGACTTCCATTTT